ATTGTAAATATCCAGTATATAAGTGAATGTACAAAATTGAAAATGAAAATGAATAAAACATTTAAACAGGAAGGAGTTGGCACACTCTGGGTTCCTTCAGTTAAATAATGCTATCTATCAGGAGCTCAAATGAGTGCCTTCTGTTGTTGTACCTGCTCTCTAGAACCAGGTTTACACCCAGATTCCAATCCAGTCCCTACCCTACTACTGTGTCAAAGGGCCCTGAAGACGTGACTCTTCAAATCTTTGGTGAGGATGATTGACCCTTCATTTCTTTATTTTATTCTGGGTTTGCTTTCTCTGTCATCTTTGTTTCTTGTGTTGTGTTGTTATTTTTGTCTTTTTGTGTCATTTCTTTGTTTTTAAATGTTTTAACGATTTGCAAACTATCCAAAGTCACTGAAAGGGGGCAGCATATAAATATTATTATTTATAATATTATTATTATCTTCTGATAGAGAAAGAAGATCAGCTTGTGAATTGACAGCTTGCTAACCCCAGGATAGGATCTTCACCAGAGCTCCTTCTGTGTGACAGATACAGTAAGGATAGTAGATTTCCAAAATATAATAGCCTATCAATACACAGATGGACAAACTATATAGTGCAATATTCTCTCTGCTTTGAGTATGAGCACAAGATTCCTATCCCCGTAGAGGAAACAAGATGAACTGGGAAAGCATACATTTTCATTTCATGGGGAGAATAATATCAATGTTGTTAGATTTTCTCCCAGTATAAACATAGCCCAGTACAGGTAGTGTTTGTAGATCCACTTCTTGTTTTGATCATGCCTGATAATCGATCAGACCTTTGAAGTCTACAAATATTTGCAAGCATTCTCTGTGGATCTTTGAAGTCACTTAGCATGATAAGAAAGCCTGCACAGAAATTCTGCTGATTTTCACCACAGAATAGGGTTTTGTTTTGTTTTTTTAAGAAAATGTTGTAAATTTGCTATTACGTATTCAACCTGAAAAAATGTTTGGAACGTTTCCTTGCTGGCTCAAAAAACTGCAGGCAGAAGATCCATCAATCCATCCCATTGTTCAATCGCAGATAATGGAAAATGGCCACTTTCATTCTATCAACTTGGATTGCTCCTGTCAATCAAGGGTTTAGCGATTTCATTTCATTGATGGGGCTTCTAGTGTTTCTAGGCCTGTCATATAAAATGATCTTCAAAGCAAGCCACTTCAGTGGAGCAACTTTCCTACTCATTGTTGAAAATATTATTCTATCATATTTGTAAAATACCCAGGAAGTTTGTTCACATGCAGAAAGTAATAACATCAGGGTTTCTTTTGAGAGAGAGAGAGAGAGAGAGAGACAGACAGAGAGACAGACAGACAGACAGACAGACAGACAGGAGAGAGAGAGAGAGAGAGAGAGTCAGATAGACAGAAACAGAGAGAAAGGCAGAGAGAGAGAAGGAGAGAGAGGGAGAGGGGATGGGGGACAGAGAGAGAGGAGAGAAGGGGAGGGAGGTTGAGAGAGAGAGGTGGGAGAGAGAGACACACAGAGAAGAGAGAAGGAGAGAGGGAGATGGGGGACAGAGAGAGGAGAGAAGGGGAGGGAGGTGGAGAGGGAGAGGAGAGAGAGAGAAGGAGAGAGAGGAATATGGGGGAGTGGGAGAGAGCAGGGTTTCTGTCAGCGTTACTGCCGATTCGGTACGCAAGTGATTTGTGCATGTGCAGTTGCCCGTAAATAGGTCTGCGCATGCACAGAACATTAAAAAGGACAAAAAAAACCCATACCGCGGTGACTGGGGAACCGGTTTGGGGGCATGGCGAGCCTGCCGTCCCTACCAGTTTGATGACTCAGTCACAATGTCCACTACCAGTTCGCCCAAACCTGTGCGAACTGGTAGAACCCACCTCTGGCAGAGAAACAGAGAGAGAGAGAGAGACAAAGAGAAGGAGAAGGAATGGGAGAAAGAGAGAGAGAAGAAAAGCTTATGCATAACATTAACTGAGAGCCAGTTTAGTCTAGTGGTTAAAGCACCAGATTAGAAAACCTGAGACTGTGAGTTCAAACCTGCCTTAATCATTAAAGCAGCTCAATCATTCCTTATCAACCCCACCTACCTCACAGGATTGTTGTGTGGAAAATAGAAGAGAGAAGGTGTATTGGATATGTTTGCTGCCTTGAGTTATTTGTAAAAATAATAAAGACAAATACAAATAATAAATACATACATTAACACATATAAAACATATGTAGTCCAAAATAAGGGCATCAAAGATGTTTTACAATGTAATTTCATATAAATGAAAGGATCATAATTTTAATAATAACTAATAACTGTTGCACTAATAAGTGGTGAAGAAAAGTAATATATAAAAGTAAAATGTTAATTTGTCCACCTTATAATACTCTTCCAACAATATTTTTAAAGTGATATATACAAAAAGCATATACATTCTATCACATATTCTATTAACTAATTCTGAAGTAACAGGAGGTAATAAAACTTGTTTATGTGAGACCATATTTTTATATATTATGAAGGAGATTATAGACATTACAATATGGTTACTACACCTATTTATATTTCAGATAAGGAGAATAGAGTTGTATTGGACAGTCTAGCATTTCCCCCCTAAAGCATCTATATCCTTCTTTAAATCAAGCATTCAGCTTTATGAACATATGAACATCAGCAGTGCCTGTAGGAGACAAAACAAACCCAAGAAACAAAATGGGGACTGCACCAATTTCCCCCCGTTGTCTTTTGGATATGACCAAAGTCAAATTCAGTTCATATCTTGGCCTAATCCCCATCAGACTGAAATGGACCCTCCTTATCCCCAGACAAAGTCCAATGCAAGCTTATCTAGACCAAAGAATAGTGGGCCTCATCTCACCTGCCCACAGTCTAGTTCAAGACCAGCCCTTACAAGGGAATTACAACATAAAGAAACCCCAACATTCCATCCTATATCAATTGATGACCTCAAAATTCCGCTGGTTGCAAAGGACTTCCCAGCTCTGCTGTCCCCCTGAAAGGTCCACTTACCTCACAATAGAGCTAACCACAAGTACACTGAACCTGACAGCCAGGTAGGAAAACAGACCCCTAGGATTTCCTACCTTGTATCAAAATCTTTATTTTTCCATTGTCCATGATCCCTCTTTTTGTAAAGCAGCCCCCCAATGATCCTTGATTAAACATGGTTCTTCTCAATGTTCTTCAGACTGAATCATGACAAAGTCCAGCTATCTGTTCTCATAACTGCCAATCAACTACACAGGGAAGTCCTGATCAAATTTGTGCAGGCTGTATGGATATGCTGAAAAAACTCATGTGGGCTTTGTTTCTTAACTTGTCTGCAGAACTCCACATTGGATAGTTTCTGGATTGTAAAGTTTGAAAACTTCTGAGACTTTTTAGATTAAAATAACATTATTTAAAGTTACCCAACCCTAAGAACAGCGTAATCATTAATTTTATTCATATCAGGGATTGCTCATGTACTTTTAGGAGACTGTGCTACTGCAAATTTTGTGAATCACTGATTATGCACTTGAAATATAATTTCTACACCATACATCTAAGTTTTATTTTTATATGTCATAAATTTTCTTAACAACTCATAAGCATAGTTCACACCACTTTAACTGCCTTGTAGCAATGAATTGTTTTTCCTAGATATTCACTATTTTAGGGCAATGTTTTAGCTTTGTAATCTTCCTACATTTTATAGATGATTTTTCAATTTTGTTCAATATTATTTGTTCAACCCTTTTAGCTTTCTGAATAACCATGAAGGTTTGGCTTTTTTTTTCTAGCACTAAGATAAAGTGGAGTTGAATTCTAGGAATTTTATGCTTCCATGGATTGGAAATTATGGGTTGTTTAGCATTTGGTTCTATTATTGCTATGAGCTGCCCACAGTTATGTTCTACAAGATGGGGTGCTACATAAGATGAATATGTATGTATGTATGCATGCCTGCATGCATGCATGCACAAAGTATATAAATAAGATTAGTCTGGCAACTGATGTCCTTCTTTCTCATTTTGGGTAAATGATAAAAATTTTAAAGAGCTCAAAGGATATAAAAATATTATTGTCTTCACTGATAGCTATAAAGTTCCTAGCAGCAGATGATTTATTTTCATTCAACAAAGATACTAAGGGCAAGAGTACAGAAGACATACCTTTAATCCACAAGTTTTAATATCCATCAGTTGGAACAATCATCTCACTTTCCGTGAACCTGCATTCAGAAGAAAAAAGTGGTTTACCATGTCTGTCTACATATTAACTATCTTCTTTTACATGGAAATCAGTTTGACTGGAAGACAACTGAGTTATGCTTCATTCATAGTTTAAAGCAGGGATCACCAACCTTTCGGACCTCAGGGAACACTAAATTCATAATTTTAAATCCCACGGACCACTCATATGATCTGCCTAATGACCGGCTGGGTGGTCATGTCACTGTGCGTTGCTAGGTGGTCATGTGACTGAGTGGGCATGGCCAACTCGATATCACTCACATTGAAGGGTGCCTTAGGGCCCCAACAGGAAGCAGTTGTTGGAGCTAACCCACACAAAAAGACCCTGAAAGGGGAGACTGCAGCAACACAAATGTCCATTGCATGTATCCAGCCCAAGAACCATAGTTTGAGGGGGTCCTGATTTAGTGTAAAATAAAAAATGCAAATAATTTTTCTGTGGACCACAAAAATTTTCTCACAGACCACCAGTGGTCCACAGACCATCAGTTGGTGTATTAAATGAGAACTTTGAATCTCCTGAAGGTGTAAATCATGTCAACAACCAACCAGTGTCTTTGAATTCTACACACATTTCACTTTCATCGTACTGACCCCCATCCCCAAATTTTCAAAACAGGGCGCGAAAAAGGCAATTGGAAAACATAAAATAATTACTGAACCACTATCCAGGATTTTGCAATCTAAATAGATAAATGAGATTCAGTTAAAGAATATTATTGCTAGGAAATTTCAAGTTGGCTTCGGAAAAAAGTTCCTTTTGTGCCTGGCAAAAAGAGAAAAAGAGCCACCAATTGCTTCAATTATTGTTGATCCTGCATTTGGCCACAACCAACCCTTATAGTGGTACAAATGTTACAATCATCTACTGGAAAAATATATTGTACTAAAAGGGTATGACTAACTTGGAAAGTATAAATGTTTAGAGTTGGCAATAGACTGATGTCAACATGTGATCATTCTTTTAGACACTTTAGGATTTCTTCCAGTCATTTACAGTACAAGATTTCTATTTCTCTCCATTTCTTAATCATATGCCTACTGACGTTTGAATCATGCATTATGCAGCTAAACCATAATGTAGTTTGCTTAGATTTAGCTGAGAATGTGAACTATGAACTCTGTTAAATAATGATCTCAATTTAAGCAATGCAGAGGTATGACATAAGCCAGGTTAAAGTAAAACTCTACTAATGTCTGAGGTTTGGTATCCCGCTGTCTAGCAGCTTTTGGAAAAGAAATAAAAAACTTAAAAACAACACACCAAAGGATATCGAAGGATTATTGTCTTGGCAGTCACCGAATTGGCCAGAGACTTCTAGAAAGATCTCATCTCAGGCACATTCATTCTTCTTTCTTCCTCTTTACTCAATTAGTTTCCTTTCCCCATTAAAAAGAAGACTAAATAGTTCCGGAGAGTGGCCTGTCGCCGNGGCCCCGCCCCCATCTATTCTCTGCCTCCTGAGTCCCAGCTGATTGGGAGGGAATGGGGATTTTGCAGTAACCTTCCCCTGCCATGCCCACCAAGTCACGCCCATAAAACCGGTAGTAAATTTTTTTGAATCCCACCACTGGAGCTGATGGCAACTAAGGAAGCTTAGGCCAGAGAAAAGGCAGGAAAGCCTACCTTACAATCACAGCCAATTGGCTTCTTACATTCCTCACAGGGGTTGGAGTACAAGCTCTCATAGCACTTGATGCAGTAGGGACTCTCCTCCTTCAAAATGTATTTCTTGCCAAACAGCGTCTCCTTGCAATAGTGGCAGTCGAAACGTTCAGTCATTTTGGCCTCAGGGATTTGATCAGGCTGTCAAGAAAAAGATGAGGTGTAAGTTCAAAATGGGCAGAACAACAGCAGGGAGGAGGACGAGAGGCGGAGAAGATTATTTATTTTCCACGATTCCTTCTAGGAGCCTCAGGATGACCTAGGAAAGGACTCTTCAGACACCCATTCAGATGCCCTGATCATCTCATGGCTTGACTACTGTAACCCAAAAGCTTCAATAGGCCCAGAATGCAGCCACATAGGCAGTGGTGTGCATCAGAGGTGCTATTCAGCCAGTCCTCTCCGGTTTGGGCGAACTGGTAGCGGCGGCGGCGGATGGAGGCTCCACCCACTCACCCCCGGCATAATGCACAACCTTCTGCTCATGCACAGAAGGCAGTACGCATGCGCAGAACATTTGCAAACTGGCTGGGAAGGTAAGTAAATCCCACCACTGGTGTGCATGTGTTGGAATGCCTATTTAACACCTCTGCTCCACAAGCTGCATAAGGAAGTGCAGCATATATACATTATCACAACTACAACAGCACAAGAAATGGAATGGAATGTAAATCTGCATTGTGGCCTATTTCAGGAAATTAGGACATTATGTTACCTCCATATGAAGTAGTTAACCGTGTCCCGTATTTTATGAGACAGTTTGTAATGGTGAAACCAATATAAAATGCTTTGATATTATATTGGTTTCTGAAAATTGGCAAAAGTTCCTCTTTTTATGTAGATTCATATTTTTAAGGAGGAGTCTTCTCAAGCTTTATCTCCGGTCCTTCAGACGCGCCCTAAAAAGTTGGCTTTTCTAGCAAGCCGGCCTGGCCTGAACAGAATAAAATAAATGATTAATTTAATTGTTAATTTTAATCTAATTTTTAAATTTTTATTGTTAATATTAATTGGGTTTGTTTTTGGATACTTTATTTAATTTCCTCTTTAACTTTGTAATATGTGTTTTTTTTTTTATGTTGTACACTGCCCTGAGTCCTTTGGGAGAATGGTGGCATATAAATCCAATAAACAAACGAACAAACGAACCAGAAGTCCTGGGGGGGAGGATTTGATTTTTAATGGAGGCAAAAACAAACCCAATTAATATTAACAATAAAAATTTAAAAATTAGATTAAAATTAACAATTAAATTAATCATTTATTTTATTCTGTTCAGGCCAGGCCGGCTTGCTAGAAAAGCCAACTTTTTAGGGCGCGCTGGAAGGACCGGAGGTCAGAGATTATGCAAAGC